TTTTTTTTTTTTTTTTTTTGTCTTGAAAATGATAGACATTTGTAGAATATGGAGACTAACTCCTAGGAGTTGCTTTACTCTGTCAGGTGACTTAAGTCACTGGGATTCACTAATTTTCTCTGAGAGAACAGTTGATTGAGAAATTTCTATTGTAAATAGCTCCATGTCTTCTAGTGATGCTTCCATGTTTTGTAGTTTGTAGCGTAAGGACACAGCGGATAACCGACTTCTCTCTGGCCCTCCAGTCAACCTGCAGTCTTCAGTGGGAGGCTCCGCAGTTGAGTTTGTTTCTGTTCCAGTAGGTGGGTCTTAGGGCGCTACAAAGGAACCTGCACCCAGGGGCCTCTGAGCCCGCCCCTCCCTCTCCTGTGCCAGCCCTTGACTTTTGCAGACACTTTTTAATCGTGTTCCTTACTGCTGCCACAATCAGCACGATTGTGTAGAGTCCAGCTAGATCATTTACATACCAAGAGTTCTATTAAAGCAGAATGCACAAATGAACATGTCATCATTTTTGTTATAATAAATATAAAATTTACAAGACGACAACTGCTTTTATCTCAGCAGCCACAGGTATATGCAAACGATCACAGCCAACTCGCGTTGAGAGTGAATGAGTTTCAGAAAGTCGGGGTTACCAGGTATTCCAGACTTGGAAAAGCAGCCAGCGGGATAATAGTCTACATGGACTGGGCTCAGGGAATCAACCTGTGGCTCACAATAGAAACCCTAGATCTTAGCCTTTCTGTTTCTTGTTCTCAGGTAACAGGTATTCATGGGGAAGTAGATAAAGGTCGCAGAGAGGAGATCCCTGGAAAACCCTTCAAAGCCTCAATGGGTTCCAGGTCTCTCGGGCCCTCCCGCACCTGAAGGATCCATAGCCTTTAATGTGAACAGTGAAAATGGGGAGTGGGACACCCGCAGCTGCCTGGTGTGTCTCTTGATTGCTTTTATCACAGCGCCACCTTCTGGCGAGGTGAGATGGGGTGGAAATGGGCTTCGGGCCTGACCTTTCAGCTTGTCCTTCCATTGATCTGTTCTTCCAGAGGAGCAAAGTCGCCTTTATTATTTTCCCAGACACATGCCTGGAAGCAACCCTATGCACACCGAGCAGACAGCGAAGCCACATTAAACCGTATTTTTCCCGCCTTGCTGAGGGTGGCTTGGTAACGTGGTTGTGCAGGAGCAGCAGGCGTTCTGACCCAAGTGCCACATCCATCCGTGATGAGAAATACAGGAAAGTCCACACTGTGCTCTGGGGATCCGGGAGAGTGTGGGAGTCAGCCCACAGCTGTAATTTGGGGGATTGTGGTATCTGCTCCCACCCCTCCCCACCCCCA